GCTGACAATGGGGAAGAAATGCCACATTAGATGTTTCCCAGAAGTAACAGCGAAGAGCGGCCCAAGCAGATGGTCGGCAAGGCCGTTTGAAGGGCGTCAGGACTCGGCCGCTCTGCCCAGGCACGGGAGCGCCCACACAGGTGTGCCCGTACCGGCACGTAGTCTGGGAAGACCCAGAGGCCTTTCAGTGCAGGCTCTGCTCCAGTGAGGGTGCCCTGGATGGGCTAGGAATGTGAGGCTGCAAGGATGAGCCAAGATCTGCCAAGGTCTGAGCCCTAAAGACCCCTAGAAGAAACTCGGAGATGAGAGGTTTGCCCTCATTCCTGCCCGCCGCGCTCTTCCTGGGCAGGTGATGATAATGTGCTGAGAAGCCGCTGGACCAGGAATAGGGAGACCAGAGTTCCCAATCTAGGTGTGTAATCTGGGCAAATTTTCAAGCTGAGCTCTACTGAGCTCACCTGTGCGGGAAGGGGCCCGTGAGGAGGAGGTTCAAGCTGTGCAGACTGTGATGTGAGCACAAAGCCCCGCCCTGCTTTCCTAAGGTGGCGCCTGTGGGGATTTCTAGCTGGGAAGCAGCCAGGAAATGTGGTTCCTATGCTGAAGACACTCAGCCTTCTGGAGCCCTCCCACTCCTGCTGCATCCTCACTTCTTCCCAGTAATGAGCCAGGCCGGGGCACATCCTGCCACTTCCAGGAACCACTTCCCTGCCTGCCTCCCCTGCCCACCCCAATGCATCTGCATCCAGAGACAAGTGCTGGCCCAGGACCTCCTAGAATCAGCTTCCCGGGCACCCCACCCTTCTTCCTACAAGACACACCGCGCCCCAGGCCCAGTAGAGGGTCCACACCCTGAGCAACGACGACCCTTTGCCACCCTAGTCCAGCCTGGGGCCCGAATGCTCCTTCCTGTGAAGCCTGAGGTCTTGGAGCCCTTAGAAGCAGCTCACTTTGCAGAACAGGCAGTCTAACGTGGCCAGTTGGGGCCTCTGTGCCGACTTGATAACCATGCCCCTTTTTATCTGCTGAGACACAGCCCTGCGCCAGGTATGAGGCTCAGTGAGCAGAAGGTGGGCTGAATTTCAGGCTCTAGACGCCCTCGTGCAGGACATAGTTGGCAGGACTATCCCAGGGAGCAAGGGTGTCTGGTCCTAGCCTGGGCTGGCTGGAGTAAGACGAGAAGCACCCAGTTTGCTCTGTGGCCAAACCCAGAGCTCTTGGAGCCCCAGGCAAGAAGCCATGAGAAAGCAACTTTGGTTCTATGCACACATTTGTGTGTGTGTGTGTGCGCGTTGCGGGGGGGTGCTGTGGGGAAGACGGGAGTTGTGTATATGTGCGGGGTATGTGTGAGGAGTGTGTGTGCATGTGTGAGTGTGGGTGTGTGTGTAAATGGAGGTATGGGCAGGGGAGGGTCTATGTGTGTCAGTTTAAACTGGAACCATGTGTTCTAAGGCCAATTGTGAGAAAGAAAGGGGTGGGGCTCTGCACCCTGGAAACTTTCCTCGTTTGGGGTACCACAGATAACTGAGGGTGTCTGACGCCCTTCCCCCAACTGTCCTGGTCTCCTCAGGGTGCTGAGGTCAGCACGGCCCCAGGCACCAGCAGCCCAGTTCCTAGTTCTTGTTTTTAACACAGGCTGCTTTTGGCAGCAGCTGCATTTACAGTCTGGACGCAGGAAAGCAGAAAACAAACTGGCCTGCAAAGCCACTCCTGGGCCCATCACTTCTCCCAGAGGTAGGGGGACCTGGCGCTTAGTCAATGTGGGGTGGGAGGCATCAGGAAGTGCAGGCAAGAACACCAAGGACCTAATTTGCTTAAGGCAGTCACTGAGATCCAAAGACAAAGGCAGGAAGAGAGGTAGTGAAACCCCATCTCTACTAAAAATACAAAAATTAGCTGGGTGTGGTGGCGCACACCTGTAGTCCCAGCTACTCAGGAGGCTGAGGCAGGAGAATCGCTTGAACTCGGGAGGCGGAGGCTGCAGTGAGCCGAGATTGCTCCACTGCACTCCAGCCTGGAGACAGTCAAAAAAAAAAAAAAAAAACCAGAAATAGGAAAAGAAGGGAATAGGATAAGAACTGAGGAAGGCAGGAGTCCCTGGGAACCAGCCTGCCACAAATAAGTGCACAGGCTGTGCACTGCACAACTGCAAGGGGAACCATTCACACAGATTACTCTGGGATTGTATGATAGGTAGGGCCAACTGACAAGGAGGGAGGAAGGAAGGTAGCTCATGGTGATCCAGACCCAGGGCTATGGCCCGTGTTTTCATATGGTCTATGGACCTCACAAGAAGGCTGTGGGATGCATATCATTACCCCTTGTTACACATGGGGACCCTGAAAATGTGACCTGTTGAGACACACAGAGGTTCTAAAGCGCAGAACTCTGAACTCCTAGCACAGTGTCCTTGGAAACCGCAGAGGCTGGAGTCCTCTCTGGACCTGCTGGTCAGGCTGCACCGGCCTTGCAGGTGTACATGTGCACATCCCCCAGGGAGTTCACCCTGGGAAGGGATGGCTTTCCTCAGCCTTCCTGGAGGAGTCCTGAGCTGCCTGAGTGAAACAGCAAATCCCTTTCAGTCCTAAGTGCAGGGTGAACCCCAGATGAACCACTTGGGGATGGGAATAGGTAGATTAGGGGAAGGGGGGTGCTCAGGGAAACAAACCAAAGCAAGACAGAGAAACCACCCGTGCTGCCCTCCACAGGGCCCTGAACAGGGAGCCAGGTGCTTACAGCGTGCGTTGGGGCTGGAAGGAGGGAGGCTCAGACATTCCTATTTTCCCAGGCCAGGGGTTCCAGCTCCCTATCACCTCCACCATACAGCCCAAAGACAGGGAGCCAGGGGATCAAGTCTTCCCAGGGTACACTGTGATGTCCCAGAATTCACAGGCCACCAATTACAGGAACTGCTAATACAGTTTCCCAAGTCCCTCCTGACTCAGCTGCTTCATTTCCCCTCTTCTTCCTAGGTCTCACCTCCTAAGCAAAGCAAGAGGTGGTGAGGAGGCAGGGCAGGGCTCTCCTGCTCAGGATGTTCAGCCTCCCCTCTCCTTCCCACCTGCGACAGGATGAGGACTCCAGGCTGTGTCTTCCCTGGAGGCCTGACTGGGGTTAACCTGGCCCTTGAGCAGGCTGCTGACCTGGAGAGCCTCTCTCACTGTCTTCCCTCTGCACTCCCAGCCAGGGCAGGCTTGGTAGCTCACACACAGCCATAGTGTAGCCCCAAAGAGCCGAGCCTGGCCCTGCATCACGTGCCTGCCCTCATCAGAAAAGAGCTGCTCTCTGCAGAGAGGACACCAAGGCAGCTCACAAGGGCACTGGACAGAAGCCCAGGTCTGGCACTAGTGGCCTGCACCTGGGCCAAGGGCCTGCATTACTTGGGTCTCGTCAATACACAGCTGCAGGAGCACTGGCCTGTCACACCATGAGGCTGTGACCTCTCCTCTGAGGAGTCTGGGGTGAGCAGTGCTGGCCTGGGCAGGCCATGCTCTTGCAGAAAGAGCAAAGGTTTCTGGGACCCACTATGGTGGCACCGACATGGGCAGGGTGGATCTGTGTCCCAGCCGGAGCCACAAAGCACAGAGGGTAAAGGCACATGCAGTCACCTACCTAGGTCCATTCAGGCAAGAGTTCTAGCTGCTTCCCAGAGATCCCCAGCGGTTCAAACCCCTCCCTTACCCAGAGTCTGACTTCCGAGTACTGATGTGGCTCCAGCCCTGGCAACTAGCTCCAATACTGGGGTGGACGTGGCATCATCTGATTTTCTTGTCAGAGATACAACACATGGCACAGAAAGGGTAGGGGGCTATGCAGGACACTCAGCAAACTGTGGCAGGACAGGCTGGGGGTGGCGGCCCAGAGCAGTTGTTTTTAGCTTTTGACAGCATCTGTGTAGCATTTTAGAGTTAGAAAAAAGAAAACAGGCCGGGTGCAGTGGTTCCTGACTGTAATCCCAGCACTTTGGGAGGCCAAGGTGGGCGGATCACAAGGTCAGATCGAGACCATTCTGGCCAACATGGTAAAATTCCATCTCTACTAAAAATACAAAAATTAGCTGGGTGTGGTGGCGCATGCCTGTAATCCCAGCTACTCGGGAGGCTGAGACAGGAGAATCGCTTGAACCCAGGAGGCAGAGGTTACGGTGAGCCGAGATCGCGCCACTGCACTCCAGCCTGACAACAGAGTGAGACTCTGTTTCAAAAAAAAAAGAAAAGAAAACAACGATGATGATGATGATGATCTATAATACCTCATGGTTACTAGGTGCTTGCTATGTGCCAGCCAGAAAAGGCTTTTCATCCAAAGCATTTCTTTAATCTTCAAACAACTCCATAAGATGGATAGTACTATTCCCACCCCACCCGCCCCTGCCACCCCACACCATTTTTCTGATAAAGTAACTGAAATAAAGAAATCTGCCGAGGATCACTGTGCCAGGAAGTGGCAGAGGCAGGCTTAGAACCCTGCCAGCCTGACTCCAGAGTTCTGTCTTCTAACCACCACACCAGGCAACCTCCTTTAATGAGCAATTACCCCGTGTTTTTCTGGAGTGAACAGTTTTCAAAGTGCTTTCACTACCTGATTCCCTCCTCTTCTGACCCAGAGCACTGACACCATTGAGCTGAATTTCTCTGTATGCCTTTGGCTGCCCTGCAGAGCTGCGAGCTCCCCAGGAGCTTAAGAAGCAAGCCAGGGTCAGGGCCACAGAAGGTGCCTCTTGTAGCATGAATAAACCCAATGAGGTGAGGCTGATATTGATGTCTTCATTTTACAGATGAGAAGACTGAGGCCAGCTGTCTCCTGAGCTACAGCGGACCTGAATTCCTCTCCCGACCCCTGCCTAGGACTGCCCCAGGTAAAATGATCCCATACAGCACAGGAGAAGTGCCGGCTCGCCAGGGTACAGCATAGCCCTGGGTGCTTCTCTTCTGGTATGTAAGAGAGTGAACATGCCAGAACCATGGAGCCCATAGCCAACACCCCTCAGGCAGGCTGCTTACCCCGGCTGATCCTCTGCTTCTCCCCGGAGAGGATCCCTGGTGTGTCGATGACGCTGATGCTCTCCAGCACAGGGTTGGGTAGCTGGGCACACACGAATCTGCATGGGCAGAGGAAACCTGGGTGAGTACTTGCCCGCCTTTTGTGACCCAGCCCCATGACTCCAACCACCTGTCTTGTCTCTCTCAGGTGAGCTGCAGGTGCATCCTGAAACGTTCAGTTCACCACGGGCTTGCCCAGCTCAGGGCGTGGCTGACAGCTGATCCAGGGCTGAACCCCAGTTCTCCTGCCTCTCCCCACATCCAGTGTTAGAGTGCCCTGCACCCGGGTGTGTTTGGTAAAATGCTTTGTGACCAGCAGGGCTATTCCATAGCGACATCCCATCTTCATGTGTGATCAAAGCCTGGGTCTAATTCTTATGGCCCCAAGTCCTTAGTTTGTCCTTGGTCAGCTATCTCCCTGCCTTGAGTACCTCCACTTAGCTTGGCCCTTTCTAGGAACCTCAGCTTTTTTAGATAAACAATGAGAAGACACCCTGCCTGGTCTTCATATGAGCCCCAAGGGACTAGCGGGGCAGGAGGGACTTCACGGATCTGTCCCAAGCCATCACTGCACAGAGTCAGGGTTTGAGGATCCTCCTTCTGATTTGATCCTCGTGGGCAAAGTGGCTGTGCTTCCCTGTATATGTCCTCATTTGTACATAGAGTATCATTCAACAGTAACTGAAGCCCTACTCTGTACAAGATAGCAGGCCAGAGGATGACAAGCCTGGCTGGCTTAAAATGCAGACTCCCAGGAGGCAGGCCAGAATCCCAGCCCCAAAAGTAGATCTCACGCAGGATCTATGCTTTGAGGAAGCTCTCTGGATGATTGTGAGGCAGCCATGATTCATGCTTGCCAAGTCCTGCTGTGGGGGACACTAAGATGTCCAAAACTTGATCCCTGTCTCCAAGGAGCACAGCCTGGTGCAGGACAGGAGGCCTATACATGGACAACCAGAATACACAGTGCAATGGGACCAGCACCCTGAGAGAAGTCAGATGAAGTGTTTGGAAAATTCAAGGCAGAGAAATGGCTTCTAGGGAGGGCTTCCTGGAGGAGTAGGCACTGGAGCTGGCCTTGAAGAATGGGAACCACCTAGGAACATTTATCTGGACATCTAAAGGCCAAACATCTCTATTAGGATAGCAGTCAAGTGTCATTCAAGAGAAGCGAGGGAAGGGGAGCAAACAAGGAGTGTGAAATAAGACCACTCAGCAGCACACAGACAGGAACCTGGAAATCTAAAAGGTGCAGCACCTTGTGCGGACTGCAGTGAAGCCAGTGGCACGTGCAAGAGGGCTCCCATCATCCCTGCTGTCGTTTCAATGGACATGCCTGGCAGACCCCCAGCCAACCTAAACATCCACCACTTTAGCTGCTGCGTGCTCCTGGAGAAAATCTCAGAACCTCACGATTTCACAGGTGCCTGCAGGAAGCCACATTCTTTCATCATTCTTCTCTGGCGATGCATATTTTCTCTCTCTTTCTCTCTTCAGTATTTTCTGCTGGAAATGTCCTCTTTTTTTTTACATTTTTGGTGTCACTTCACCCATTAACGTCAGGGTCAAATGGCAACTTTCCCACAAAGGCCTTGTCAGCCCTGCTCTTCCTCTTGCCTGGGTTTCACTGGCTCTCTCCAAGCCTGTGTCCACTGAACTGGATCAGCCTTACATTCCCCCACAAAACAGAGCCCAAGGCCGGTAGGGGCCTGGTGTCTGTTGAAATAAAACATGAATTCTATCCCTTAGCAAGGCACCTGGGAGGGAGGCAGGAGACACAGCCCCTCCTGTGGCCACATTTCTTTCCTTGTCAATGTCTGCTCTGCAGGCCAGACACGAGGTCACTCTGGAAATGCAGGATCTTGCCTGAGTCACCTTCATTTTATTCACTGAAATCACAAATATAGAGAGAGATTCCTGATCCCTTAATAGTATCACCTTTTGTGTGCATGTTATTTGTTTCACAACACCTTCCTATTTTCTTTATACTTTTTTTTTGTAAAATACATGCACATGGTAAAAAACAAACAAACAAACAAAACCAACCAAAACATGGTCCAGCAAGGCATAAAATGAAATAGGAAGGTGTTCCTCTTCTCCACCTTTCTGCCCTGCTCAATTCCACTCCCTAAATGGAACCACTGTAAGCCAGTTACAGGCTCACACCTGTAAACCCAGCACTTTGGGAGGCCAAGGTGGGTGGATCACTTGAGGCCAGGAGTTCGTGACCAGCCTGGCCAACATGGTGAAACCCTGTCTCTATTAAAAGTACAAAAATTAGCCGGGCATGGTGGCACATGCCTGTAACCCCAGCTATTCAGGAGGCTGAGGTGGGCAAATTGCTTGAACCCAGGAGGCGGAGGCTACAGTGAGCTGAGATCACGCCACTGCACTTCAGCCTGGGCAACAGAAAAAAAAAAAAAAAAGTAACCACTGTAAAGAATTATATATTTTTTCCTTTCTCTCTCAAATTTTCTTCACACAACATTTGCAGGATTAGATTATGACAATTTAAATTTTATCACTTTCTAGATGAAGATAATAATATTGAAAGAGGTGTCTTTACTTAAAGTAAACCACCCCCACCCAACCTCACCCACACCTCCTGGTTTCAATAAATTTAACAATGGAGTTAATGAGACTTGCTGGGTTTGATTAATGACATAAGGGCACTCAGCTTTCAGGAATACACCCAGCATATGATGGCAATCTCCTAAATTCTGTTATCATAATAGGCTACACGCTATTACATATAATACAGTACGCTATATCATTATAAGCACAATTATCCCAAAATGGCATTATTCACTAAACCTGTACTCCTCTCTTGTGATGAGCCCAGTTTCCTCTTGTCTCTCCCCGGCTTTTCCCTCCTCTCCCCTGGGGTCTAGCTCCTCCTCTCTGCCTTCAGATAGGATGATGCTCCTCAGCTGACTCACCAGCATTGCAAACTCAACCTGTCCAAAATCAAATTCATCGCCTACCCCCTTGCTCAGATATCCCTGTTTCTCTTCAGCTCTGGCAATTCATTCTCCTGAATCATGCTCATCCCACCCCCTCCATTTCTGCATTTTTAGCATTTTGGGCATCCAGGACCTCCTTACTCAGTTCCAGGTATGAGAGACACCCCTGGACTCCAGGACGCCTGCCCCACTGCACCTTACCACCACGACCTCCTCATTCTTCCTAAACTGACCTCGGCTTCATTCCCAGGTGTGAGAGACACCCCTGGATTCCGGGACGCCTGCCCCATTGCACTTTACCACCACGACCTCCTCATTCTTCCTAAACTGACCTCGGCTTCATTCCCAGGTATGAGAGACACCCCTGGATTCCAGGACGCCTGCCCCACTACACCTTACCACCACGACCTCCTCATTCTTCCTAAACGGACCTTAGCTTCATTCCCGACATAAACCAAACCCCATGCCTGGGCCTCTCTGCCAGGCCAAGTTCCCGAGATTTCTCAGCATGGCCCTTCCTCTGCTCCCTACTCTGGGTGCACACCTTGGCCACTCACAATTTCACATTTCATTCATGTGGTTGTTTCCCTGTCCCTGTCTCAGACTGTTATTGACTCCCTGCCACTGTAAGAAAGGTCAGAAACAAGTTCATAGGTTTATAAAAAATATTATTTGGAGCTGGGCACGGTGGCTCACGCCTGTAATCCCAGCACTTTGGGAGGCTAAGGCAGGTGGATCACCTGAGGTTGGGAGTTTGAGACCAGCCTGACCAACATGGAGAAACCCTGTCTCTACTAAAAAAAAAAAAAAATACAAAATTAGTCAGGCGTGGTGGCACATGCCTGTAATCCCAGCTACTCAGGAGGCTGAGGCAGGAGAATTGCTTGAATCTGGGAGGCAGAGGTTGCGATGAGCCGAGATCACGCCATTGCACTCTAGCTTGGGCAACAAGAGTGAAACTCCGTCTCACCAAAACAAACAAACAAACAAAATATATATATATACGTATATATATTTGGAATAAGAGACATCGAGAATCCTTTGGGCAATGAGCCTCACCTTCCACAACTGAAAAATGGCCACAGCAGATGCCTATTCCGTTCACTAAACAATTAAGGAATCAAATGAAACAAGATATAACACTATCACTAACTAACCTGTTGGTTACTATGTGCCAGGCACGAAGTGTTTTCTGTTCACTGTCCCACTTATTTCTCCTTTAACTCCTATTATCCTATTTTACAGATGGGAAAAATAAGAAACAAAGAAGGTTTGTAACTTGTTCAAGAGCCACAGTATTAGGCAGGATTTGAACCCAGGTCTATCTGAAGGCAAAGTCCGTATTCATTACCTCTACTCTAAACACCTCCAAGTAGAAAAAGGAGTTTTAAAATTATTTTCAAAGTGTTTACCATGCACATGTGAAACTGGATTTATAAGTGTAATAAGCGTGAGCAGGGGATCAGCCTGCATTCTGGTTAAACAGAACAATTAATGCGAAGGCCCAGATTAGTTTGCCAAGCATTCCTAGAGTTTTCTCCATTCAAATCATCATGATGATCTTGGTATCTGCAAGGCTGACCTTGTCCTGGGGCAAGAGAGGTGACCTGTGCAAGCTCATTTAATTCAGTAGAAGAGTCAGTGCTCAAACCCAAGGCTTCCCTCTGAAGTCCGGGGTTCTTCCCACCAGGTAGAAACAATATCCGTGAACAGAAGAGAACCTTCGTCTGCCTCCTTCCAGTTGGATGCAAATCCCAGCCACTGCACGTTTAGGCCAATGCTGGGAACTACATGGAGCATCCTCCTCCACTTTTACTAGGGGTAGGTGCAGGGTAGGGGAATGTGACCTAAGTCAATGCTGTATCCTTCCTTGCTCCCTGAGAAGGAGGAATCAGCCCAGCATTTGCAGCTGCTGCATCTCACAACTGACTCAGTTACACTCTCAGCAAGCAAGGGACAATCTAGGTATGGAAAGATTGACAGGAGACTCTAGGCACCAAGCCTCCCAAGACCCTGCCTATTGTTCTTTCACCCCCCACACTCCAAGAAGAAGAAAAGAGAGCACCCGAAAGTGTTGTGTTCCCCTCCACACTCACCTGTTCAAGAAGGCGTTGCCAAAGGCGTTGAGTTTCCTGAAGGGTTTCTTGGGATCCACCACCAGGGCGTTCCCAGGGATGATCCCCTCCATGTCTCCCTGCATCACCGCAATGAAGGAGTCTGTGGTGGGCTCGGGCCCAATCCTCATGCCTGGGAAGTCCTGTTCCAGCAGGTACCTAGCAAGAAGGAGCACAGTCCTAATGCAGGCATTTTGCTCAAAGATCAACACGGCATGTCTACTATAAGGCAGACAACATGCGAGTCAGAGGGGAGGGCAGAGCCACAGCAGCAAGATCTCATGGCCGGGAGAAATGCCCGTTAGATAATGAGTCCAAAGAACTTTGTAGAGCAGGTGGAATTTCAGCTGAACTTAAAATATTCTGTTTTTTGGTCCTTATCTTTTTCCCTTTCTCAATCAGTTGGGGGCTCGTGGGCGGGCGTGGAAG